ATCTATCTATCTATCTATCTATCTATCTATCTATCTATCTATCTATCTCTATTTAGCCTGGGTGGGGACTTGGCTGTACTTGTTAGTATTTACAATGGGGAGATGACACTTTGTCCTTCACACCCTTCAGCTTTCCATTTGACTGAGCAGTACTGAGTTTCATGATGGTGCATGATGTCAAAACAACTTGTTCTGTTTATCCTGTGAACAAAGCACAGAGCATGAGTATCAGTGGGCCTATGTGGGTTCCCACAGGAGCATGCTGAAAACCGCACAAACAATGCAAGGTTAAATATATATATAATTGGTTAGTGTTGAATCTGAGTGAAAATTGACGTGTGTACTGTATATGGAAACAATGCCAGAATAACGTTTAGTATAACGATTGACTGGTATGACAGTATACAGTACATGTTCTAAATCCCAGCTGTAGTGTATTGTTTGAGCACTATAGTGCAGTTGAGGTAAAGCACTTTGAGGTAAAGTGTGTAAAGACGCCCCGCTCTTTTTTTTTTGGTATTCAGTTTGATTGATATGGAGCTGCGAGAGGGATCATTTTTTCTGTAATGTGTCAGCTTTACGCTGTCAGTACTCCTTGTCCTGTGAAGGGCCGCTCTCATCTTTGTCCAGACAAGAGGGCTCTTGTGACAATGACAGTAAGAGAGAACAAAAAGAGATGAGGAAAGAGGGTGGGAGGGCAATGGAGAGCGGGCATGACAGATAGCTGTGAGCTGAGTTTTGTGTTATAGAGAAAATGCTAATCTTTGGCGACGAATCACCTGCCCCAAAACATGGATTACAGAAGAAACATCAGAAGATATGTAACACAAATGAATTGAAATAAACAGAACATGAGAAATCTTTCCACAGAAGCAAGTCTGTGCACAGAGGCAAGGAGCTAATGAGAGTGAATAGACACAGGAGAGGCTGAGTGCCCATGATGTCATTGACTGTGCTGGTCGGTACTCTCGCACTTCTCCCTCCCCCTTCCCTCTCTCCTCCTGCGTCTCTGTATCTCTCCATCTCTGTCGTCATTTTGAGAAAGCCTGGGAGTGGCAGGAAGGAGGAGAGGCAGAGGAGAAAGAAGAAGAAGAAGAAGAAAAAAGGAGGAGGAAGACGAAGAGGTAGAGCAGCTGTACGCTAATCAGGATCTTCCTGAATATTTTCACAGCATCCTTCCATTTACGGCAGCAGGTACCGTACTCTCTCTTTTTCAGCATCACCGTTTCATGCACTAGCACGCAATGCAACAAAGCGGCCATGGAAACAGCAGCAACAAGATAACTGGATGTATTATTTCACGCCCCGCTAATGATAAATAATTTGTAATATTTATGTGGACATTTTTAGATGCAGTATATTTCCACATTGGATTTTCTTAAAAAGATTTAATGTCAATCCCCAAAGTGCCTGTAGCCAAAAAGAAATGCAACACTGGATCTCCAGTGACATTTACGTACATGCTTTTATGTGTTTCATTTTTTTTATGGTTCATTGCCTGGAATCGTTCTCATCCGTTGTAGTTTTGTCCACATGCCCACCAATAAAATGTCCCACCAAGAAAAATAGGATTACTAGCATCCATGAAATGTGCATTTCTGCTATGTAAAAAGAAAAAAGTTTTGTAATAATTGTGTTCCTTTCAACCGTTTTCATTTTATTAATTTATACTTATAAATCAGGCTTTTATGTACTAAACGTACATCCTTACTGTTTTTCAGCCAACAGCAGTAACAAGTTGTGTGTGTGTGTTTGTGTGTGTGTCTGTGTGTGCGTACGAGAGATTGACCAGGAGAAGAGAAAGAGGAAAAGGAGCATGTTTGTTCATTCACCGTTAGATTTAACAGCAGAGCAGCCGTTTCGAAATTGAGCTGATTGAATTAAATTGGCCTGAGAGCAGCTTTAGTAAGAGGGACATAATGATGGATGTGAAAGTGTGTATCTGCTTGTGTGTGTGTGTGAGAGAGAGTGAGTGAGAGAGAAAAAACGTTCACTTGGACTGACCATGATGGCAGACCTTTCCTGGCAGGCTGACCATCAATCAGCTAATAGAATCATTATGACGTTCTTCAATTTCACAAAATGTCTTCACAAGGAGATAAAGTTAATGAACAACCAAAGTAAGGGTGTCATCACTTTTTGAAGGGCTTTTTGAAGGTAGGACATTGCAACTATGTGCAACAATTAAGCTGGTGTGTTGACCATTATCAGTTTGATACTGTATTCTCTATGTGTATTTGTCAGTATGGCGGAAGGCTCAGTGTCTGTAGCAGAGGTCGAGACCTCCTTCCAGAAGTTTGCAGTCCATGGAGACACTAAAGCCCGAGGAAAGGAGATGAACGGCAAGAACTTTGTTAAGATCTGCAAGGACTGCAACATAATCGACGGCAAGAATGTCACCACTACAGATGTTGACATAGTTTTCAGCAAAGTCAAGTAAGATTTTATTCAACTTTCACAGCAAAAACATTGAAAACGCAACAACTCAGTCACAGGGTAACAACAAGACAAGTAAAGGCGGCAAAACCATTAATCATCAATTGGTCTTTAAAACAAATGTCTCTATGTTAATAAGCACGAAACATTGTACTTAGTAAAGTACATATTATGCTCATGGGAAGTCATTAGTTTTGCAGGTGTTTGGTCATAAACCAAAGCATGGAATACATTCAAATTTTGACCCGATCACCCCATGGGATCGCCAAAGTACTTTCATCCTCTGGGCAAATTCCATGGCAATCCAATCCAACATTTCTTGAAAACCCCCAGATTTTAACCTCATGGAGGTGCAGAGGAAAAGTCAGGGGGTCACTGAAGACATTTGGATTTGATTTTCTTGGGAACATGAGTGCTTGTACAAATGTTTCATGGAAATACATGTAATTGTGGTTTAGACATTTCCATCTAGACCAAAGTGGTGGACTGACAGATCAACCCTAGAGCCATGACTTCTGCATGGCTAATAAGATTTTAATATTGCCACAAATTCTTCTTGGGGCACACAGTGGCGTGCACACACACACACACACACACACACACACACACACACACACACACAATTTTTCTAGCTTTCTACAGAAATGTGTTATTTAAAATTGTACGTACTTGCTCTTCAATATAATGTCTAGTAATCACACTGTTATACCGCTTTAGCCCCTCCCTTTGCTAGTCCAATGTCATTACATTGATGTGCAACATTATTTGTATAATTGTGTTACTTGCCTGAGAAAACATTTGGCAACACTGTGTGTTTCCTCAGGGCGAAGTCAGCTCGTGTAATCACATTTGAGCAGTTCAACCAGGCCCTGACAGAGTTGGCTCCCAAACGTTTTAAAGGCAAAAGCAAAGAGGAGTCGCTTCAGCAGCTCTACGGTCTCATTGTTGGTAAGGAACCTGCCAACATCGGAGTCACTGTGAGTATTTCATCTAACCTCAACATACTCACCTTTCACCCCCCCCTCAGGCACGCAGCATCCAACAATGCTGCGTGCTGCTCACTCGACAACTTAATGCTCTGATTGACCCACCACCACAAAGTACTTAAGTTTAAGGATGTTTGAGGTTGGTTAAGGTTGGGGTAAGAACCCAGAAGGACTACTCTCTCTGTTTGAGTGAGATTCACAACAATGTGTTCACATATCTTTTAGATTTATTATCTAACTCTGGTCTATGCGCAATAGCCAAAATAATGATGTGCATTATTGTCTGCCAGTGTCATTCTTGAATTTCTTTGGCTCCAGAAATTTCAAATCCAATGTATTGTGTCTTTATACTGACATTCCTTTAATGGGATAATATATTAATTTAAGTGCTGGAAAAAAATGTAAATAAATATTTGAGAGTGAGGGGAAAATAAAGTAAGCAGAGAGATGGAATAAGACATGTATGTGTGTGTATGTATGTATTTTTTTAGAAAGTGGCAAAGGCAGCAGCAGTGGACAGACTGACTGATACCACCAAGTACACTGGAGCGCACAAGGAGCGGTTTGACGAGTCAGGCAAAGGAAAAGGAAAAGTCGGGCGCGAGGACCTCCCAGACAGCAGTGGCTATGTCGGAGCTTACAAGGGCAGTGGCACTTACGAGGAAAAAGTTAAAGAGGCATAATTCTGCAGACAGATTATGAAAACTTTGATTCAATAACTAGAATTAGGGCTGTTTCAAAAAGATAAAATAAAAAAGATAAAATGTATTAATTGGCTACTTTAATTTTGAAGACAAAACAAATAAACTGTATATGTCTTGTGGGCCTAGCAATACTAACTCTATCCAACAATTAAAGAAAAAAAAACACAAAAGGTTTTCATAAGTGACAACCAGGATGAGCAACTTAAAGAAACTATTCCTAAAACAAAATCTAAAGATAATGGACATACTTAGCTGCACTTTGTTTAATGGGTTTTACAGTAGCATGAACAACTGATACTGAATATTTTCAATGATTCAACAAGGATCAAAAGATGAAACTGTACTTGCAGCCTAGCATGCTTTATAGAAACTAACTCTGCTTTGTATTATAGTTTAACACTGTGCCTTAGTATCGATGTAGCCGCTAGCGTGAATGCTATGATATACAGTAATGTGCTGCTAATCTCACTTACCTTGATGCAATGGATGGTACTTTAGCTGGATTCAAGAAATGATGCTGAGTCAGTAGTTACTCCTTCACTCGCTAAATTTATGACTTTATAGTTGATTGCATTTTGCTACATGACCAGTCAGTGCCCTTTATTATTCTTGTCATGGCATTTGATCATATCATAGATATTTATATTTACGAGTCAAAAAATGAACAAGCAGTGAAGAACACAGAATGATCCTGTATTGATGAAGCTACAGCCTAAATCATCTTTATTTCTCATTCTTAACTTACTAACAACATTATGCTGTGATTCTTAATGCTCATATAATGTACGCTGTTTAATTTTGTTTCAAGGTTAAATCTATTAAGAATATCACATTTTTCCCCCAGAATTAAAGACTGGAAAACAACTTTTAAGAGAAGTGAATGCAATGTGAATGTAATAAAGGTGCACCATCATACGTATATATTATAGTATGCATTGTAATCCTCTAAAAACCTAATTGTAGTGTGGTATCAGCAATTGTACAATTTAATCACTGCGTTATAATACATACTTGTTTGTTGCAGCCATGCTACCCATAACTCTGTAAACGTTTAGAAATTAAATGTGAGTTCTAAATCCCAGATGTGAGTAAAGTTTTTTCACTCACAACGATCTTCATTGAGCTTATACAATAGGCTAAGTGAAAAACGTAAACCCAAAACAGGTGTGAATTTACAGTATAGGAAAATATCAGAAAATAATTTCTCACTTATTAGTTGACAGTGAATAACAGTTTAAAGTCGTGAAGATTTAAGCGGATAACCAGCCACACGAGACCTGCTGATTTTCAGAAATAGCCGGGATACAATTTCACAACATAAAAGGCCGTTGTAGAACAATAAACACTCAGAATACACTCCTTCTACCTGGACCCTCCTGGTAATGTGACGCTGATGCATTTATGGAGGATTCTTAGGGACCATCTTAACAATGCTTGTCGTATGTCAACGGTCAGCTTACCTCCTCCATTATAGGCCTGAGCTGATAAGTGTCACCTGGATTTAGTGTGGATAGTGTCATTGAATTCCATAATAGCCTGTATTCTCTGCATTGCCATGCTCAACTCATGATTCACTCTAAATACTTTGATGTCAATACATACAGAACAAATAATCCAATACATTTGTGCGATATAGTAGATCTTTTGTAGTGATTATTTGTCATTTTTTCATCTATTCAAGTTCACAGCTGGTTTTTCATTCTTAAAAGACATTTAAACCTACATTAAGTCATTTTGGGGCCACAACAAAATGCGAAAGAAATCATTGACGTTATGTCATCCTTTAAAGTTAATTTGAAAATCTTTGATTTTATCGAGCTGTATTCACTGTATCTAGCAAGCCACACGTCGGCTGGTTTACTACAGAGGTAAGAACACAAAATAAAAAGATTAGACTCCAGTCTAATCGCGTCTGTGCATAGACTTTGTATGTAAGCTACTAGCGCGAATGATTTGCGCCGCGTTTGGTGTGAACGCACCTTTAAACTGCGCGTCCTCGTCAAGTCTCTACAGGCGAGTGCGAGCACTACTCCTCCAAGACCCGTTTGAGAGGAGAACTTCGGCGGAAAAAGTGCTGGTGACAGAGCTGGGCCCAGAAGCTTCTCTAGTAGCTGGTAGACCAGAGAGGTTTGGCTAGCTGGATGCAGTCATGCTAATGCCTTATAACAGGGGTCTTCAACGTTTTTCAGGCCAAGGACCCCCATACTGAGAGAGATGGAGCAGGGACCCCCGACTATATATATTGTATAGAATTGTGTTTTATATTAAATGGGCCTAGTACCGTGTATACCTCTTTATTGTGCATTCAATACTAAGCTATTCAAATAATACACAGGTTCATATAATCATGTTTTTATTTTAAACATGTGCAAGGTACAGTGAGTAGGGTGGCCGTGCCACTGCCATTTATAAACATACCATGTCAGCTGATGCCAATATCAACATTGTCTGTCAATTGCATGATAATCATGCATACAAGCTATTCAAATTGATGTTTTCATTTTAAACATAAATGTGGAAACGAAAAATGAGTGATGGCCTATTAGTACCACTGCCATGCATAAAGATACCTGTTATCTTTCATGCAATACTGAAATATTAAAATAATGGACAGATTTTTTTTTATATATATATATATTTTTTTAAATTGTCTAGTCAACCAAAAATTTCACAGACCCCCTGCAGTACCCTCGCAGACCCCCTAGGGGCCACAGACCCCCTGTCTTGGACCTCTGCCTTATAACAATAGGGACAGATCCAGCATTGACAGTTACGGGAGTGAGGGATATGAAGCACCTGTGAGAAAGTAAGGAAACATGACACAACACCGGCTCACACATGAACTCTGTCAAGCTAGCCATATTAGGCAAAGTGAACATCTTTTCTTGTACATAGTTGTCCTCAGTCTCATTTTCTTAACTTGGTCATGGAGGCATCAACATTTAATTGAGATGGTAAATTAACAGTGAAAACTCACCATAGCTTAATTTAACACCATTATTCCTAATTGCATTTCATGTTTACTTCTCCTGATCTTTATCATGAGACAATTTGTCAAATTTCAGATTAGATTTTAGATGAAATGGTGCATAGTTACAAAATAATTTCATGACAGGTTAAACGTTATCATTCAGAAATTGTTTCATTGAGATTGTCACGGGGCATGATGGAGGACTCAAGCGCAGACAGTCAGATGCAGTGAGAAAAGGGTTTTAATGAATCATGAACAAAACAGGAATCTTTACCGGAACACAACAGGGAATCCAAGGACGAGACAAGAGACGAGGGGGGAAATCTGGCAGGACGAGGCAGGGCAGGCTGGTTTATAAAGTGACTTGAACAGGTGAGGGGAGTTGTGCTGATGAGGAGGGAGTGCTTGATTAGAGGCAGGTGAAGGGAGTTAGGCTGATAGGTGGCGGTAATGCACCTTTCACTGGATGCCATCCGCCATAAAATCAAAAAGAAGAAGAAGAAAGAAGTTAGGCTGATGCTGAGGGAGCCTCTGTGTTGCATGTCTTGTTAGTACTTGACAATGTATATGAGTCTCCTGAGTGATGATACTACGTATATTAATATTCTCACTTTTTTTCATTGTTTATGCACGCATTTTAAAGCGTCGGGACAAGTCGCTGAAGGAGCTATTGGGCTGTGAGAAT